TATCCACGTAATTACTGCATTTTCAACACCTGCTGATATGCAAAGCTGCCTTAATTCTAAAAGTAAAACTTTGGATTTAATGGAAGCTAAGGAAGAAAAATTATTTATTGCATACCAGTGATATTTATCTCACCTGTCTTTAGGCTTCTACCACATACCTAAATAAGGATATTCCCTCTGTCAATGAATATTGATAGGCTCCTCCAGGGAAAGCAAGCCAAAGCAGATGCATTAGTGTTTACCAATATCCAACCTACAGCTTCTTTGCTGCTAATTAAGCCCTTACTTTTTCCCTGTTTTTTCCACTATCTATGAAGATTAATTGATTACTTTCCTTTCTCAAAGCTGTTGGGAGATGGCTATCACGGCTTGCCTAGTTTTGTGTTTATTTTTTTGTCTTCCAGTCTAAGAAAAGCCTAGTACTTTATCTTTTTCTTACAGATCATGCTTTTAAAACTTTTTTCCTTTTTGTTTTTCTGCCCTGGAATGCATTAATTTATCTGTATAAATATGCATCTTGTATATCATTCAGTGACTAAAAGAGGACTCTTACTCTTGCAAAGGGGTCCTGACTGCTAAGTGAAATACAAGACTTCTTCATGGATCTTGAAGGGAGTGTCTTTACTTACACAACCTGGAATGGTAAGTGTCTTTTTAATGAAAATATTATTCTAGTGAAGGACATTTAGCTAATGATACATTTTGACAGCCAGATCTTGTTCAGCATTTTTGAAGGCTGGACAAATTTCACCATTGCTTCTTTACCTTTGCACTTATCCTCGCTGAATGTTGTTTGTTGGTTTCTCTTCAGGGGTCCAGATTCTTGTTGATGATTCTCATCCTGTCCCTCTGAGTGCCTGTAACCTCTCCCAGCTTGGTGCTTTTGGAAAGCTGTGTAAGCTCTTACTCCACACACTATACATGTTGTTCAGAGCAGTACTGAGCAGACCCAGGCTAAGCAGAGCCCTGCAGGACCCCCATTCAAAATCTCCTCTATTCCTGCAGGGAACCACTAATAGCTCTCCTTGGAGCAAATTTTGCAGTTGTCTTGTAGTGATTTAATTCAGAGGATATTTACCCAAGCTGCCCATAATACTGTGGCATGGGACAAAGCCAAAGCCTACAATACTTACATATTGTGAGAATATGTAAGTATTCTGGGGACTGCCTGTCTTCCTTTGGAGATACAGTACAAGATTTGTAGCAGCAGGAATGGAAGGAGAGGTGGAGGAGGAAGATCTGTGCCTAATTACATTTAGTCTCAGTGAGTACTGAGGAGACCTATTTCTTGCTGTTCTTGGGTTGCTGTAATACAAGCTGACCCTGACAAGCCATACAGCAGTTATGGATGTATTTTATCATGTTTTCTGCTCTTTTGTTGGGAAGTCTGGTCCCTGGAGTGTGTTATGTGATGGCTGGCTTTCAGGGGCATGACTTCCCAGTAGCATCTTTCTGTCAGGCCAGGGCAGTTTACACAGGGAAAACCATTAAAGTATTTTTACGCTTGACAACATACATCTTCCCTTGCTTCAGTGACCTTTGGGAACACATTTGTCATATCCTTCTAGACTTCTCATCTTTGCAGGACACCAGGATGGGGCAGGAATAAAACAGCATCAGTATATAAGGGGAGAAAACTCTGGGTGCAATAAGGTGCCCCCTTAATAAGGGTGTAGATAACATCTTCCAGGAAGTTTTCTGCTCTGCAGTCATGCCCACCTTGGCAGGACTTACTGGGTGCTGCCTTTTCCAGCAGTCTGGGGCTGCTGGGTGGATGGAGAACCCTGCCCAGCCCAAAGGGTGCAGACTGGAACAGGCACATGTCTGGCATGGCTGGGCACCCAAAGCAGAATTGCCCACAAGAAAATCATCTCTGGACAAAGCAATCACCATACCCCTTCAAGGGGCTGCAGGAGGAGTGGTGGGGCATTCTTCTTCCTCAGGCTTGGGGGTGTATGCAGAGGCCTCCAGTTTGAGCTCAAGACTGTCAGTATAGGTGATGTGGCTGAAGTTGACCAGCTGTGGCCAAGAAAATGCTCCTGTGGAAGGGAAGGTTTCCCTCCTTGCCAGCACTGATCATCCTGGAGGTTGATGGTGCACGGCACCACGATGGTTCTCCTGGTACCAGATGAATTTTCACCCCAAGTTATGCAGCTTCCATCCCTGGTCTAGCAGGGAAGAAGCAGCAGAGAGGCGGCAAAGCCAGCGCAGCCCCTCCCCGGTGCCCCGGCCGTCTCCGGCAGGGCGGCGCAGCCTCCCCCGGCGAGGGGCTCCGGCTTCCCAGCGTGCGGGAGCGGCGTCCAGCCCCGGCCCCGGATCCCTCCCCAGACACGGTCCGGCACCTCCTCCCTCGGCAGCGGAGCCCGGCCAGCAGGAGTCCCTGTTGCTTGTCTCAGGGAATCGCGCAGGACTCTAATCTCACCCATCGGACAATTCCTGCTTCACGCTGCTTCTCCCGCCAAAGATAATGGCACACTAATACGGTAAATCACGGCGTTGCACCATGACTGATGCCAAATGCGGTTTGCAAATGCTACTGGGGGCGATCTGTGTAGAGATACTGAAAATGGAAAATAAACTTCCAACTTTCTGGATTAAATCTCCATTAAGAGCAGGCTCATGTTTGGACCTTAAGCCCAAAAGTAGTGAAGTAATAGAAATCTTTCCAAACCATCTACTTTCCTCCTGACAATGTGTAGCTTCTCTTTGAACTGCAGCAATTCAGTAGCATTGGAAGGCTCATTTCTGAAGTTTAAGGACAGTAACAGCCTGACAAAATTGGTGCTGAACACATAGGGTGCTGCTTGTTCTGGCATGAGCTGTACTGCAAATGATTTTGGTGAAAATGAGAAGAAAGATCTGCTATTAATCACCTGCAAGGGCATGAACTGTGAGTCACTATTAACTTAAGTAACTTCTCTTAAGAAATAATAGTTTTGCATTTATAAATGTTACTAAACAGGCAGAAAGCCCATCCATTTCTTAACTCCTGCAATATTTATTCCAGCATTTGCTAGTAAGTAGATGTCTAAGCAGGGTATTGATGATAAGAAAATAATTTACATTTGTATTATTAACTAATTAAGGAGGCTGCCTACTTTGAATCTAAAAGCAGTCATCAGTGTTTCAGTGCATATTTGCAGAGGAAAGTAACTGGCAGGACCCTACATTGTCATTGGGAATATGAAAATTATGAGCCAGGGAAAAAACCTGAAAGCCATAGAAAGAGTAAAGCACCTTCATATACACTTTGAGACAATTCATCTGACAACTGAGTAATAAGCTGATGTTATGGACTGTGTTTAAAATGCCTGCAGCTGGAAATACAAAATAGGAAAAGATTCAAGTACTTCACCTGTTCCACCCATTAACCAGTGACACACATTTCAATTTATATGGAGTGATAACAATTTTCTGTGGTAAGAGAATGAAATCATAATGAGAACAAGATGTTATTGCATGCAATGTTTAAGGCTTATCAATACATGCAATAGTTACACAGCTAATACTCACCATACAGTATGGTTAACATGGACACAGGCATGACAAGGAAACCCAGCAGCATATCAGCTATTGCAAGTGACATTAGAAAATAGTTAGTGGCATTCTGTAGTTTTTTCTCCAGTGAAACAGCCATGATGACAAGAATGTTTCCAGCAATGGTTAAAACAATCACTATCACTGTCAGCAAAGCCGGCCAGTTTTTCTGTGAAGGGCAGCACGGTGGGCTCATGTTACTTTCACATGAAAGATTGGTTAGGTTGTCAGTGTTCACAGTCAAGTTGCAGAGATGTGATATATTAATTTCTCCAGCTCCATAAACATTTCTGTAGAATCTTCTCTCATGGTTTATTTGTATGAAGGAGTTTGCAGTTGGGTTCACAGAGGTCTCTCCATCACAAAGAATATCCATTGCTAAGTCCAAAACCACAGAGATAAATTGTGAAAAACAGGAAATTATCACCCTTTGTCACCATTGGGCATTATATTCCTCAGCTTTCCATGCCAGAAGTTGAGAGTGCACAATCTTTTGTCGACTGTATTTTTGCCACTGGTGCGATGCAGAAAAACATACCAGAATTAATCCAAAAGCTGAAATGTTTTGTTTTCAGTTCTAGAGGAAGTCCAGTGTTAGCATATGTTGAAAATCCAGCTGAAAAGTAAAACCGGGCTGTAGGATACAGAATGTGGACTTGAGGCTTCAGAGAGCAAAAATGTTGGAGAAATAAAAGACATAAAACTTTTGCAACCACTAGGACTCCCCTCTGGAGCTACATCTTATTGCTATTGGTAACTGCTATCACACAATTTTAAACACAGCAGTATTAAAATATCTTGCTCTATTAAACAGCAAAGCTCTTGCTTCTCTATTAAGAAAGTTGATTAATGATTCCATCCAGCATCTTTTTCTTGAAATAATTAAATATGCTCTTATTTATAGTGCATCTTCCATAATATGGCTGATAGTCTCTGTTTTCTGTTGTATTTCAGAACCATTTTCAGCCTCATATCAGAGACTACACATTCTGTTCCATGCTGATTTTTGTAGCTAATTGTACCTTTTGGCCCAGCATGGCTTCAGAATGGAAATTAAACAACTAGATACTGTTATAAAAGAATACAATTTAAGGAAGACTTACATTGCACTTCAGAGCCCACTTTCAAACCGCAAACAGATGCACTTTGCACTCTGGTTTATAATATTCTTCGCTGTGTTTAGCCAGTTCTGTGTCTTTTTTCTTCAGCCTCCTCCACAATGGTGGTATTTCAAATAGTTTTTTGACTTCTAAATTGCACACTTGAGTGAAGCCAGTTCCTGTGCTGCGAGGCTTGCTCTTTTCTTCTGAGAGATAGGCTGCTCACTGGCTCTTTCCTTGTGCATTTCCCCGCCCCAGGGCAAGCTATATTTAAAGTAATAATAATATCAGAGCCCTTCTTGAAGTGACACAAAGGAAAGCGCGCACACACGCTCCCGAGAAAGCAGCCTGCATGGAGGAATTACTGATTGCAACAGGAAAGGAATTTCTCCCTTGCTGCCTTGTTCGGATCGTCAGACCTCCCACTCTCTGGATGTCAGAAACTGCAAGGTAGCAACAGCAGATAAGGGCAGGGGAGGGCAGAGCAGAGAGGGTCTTTTTGGTAAGCCAGCAGCTTTTTCAGTGCTTGTTTTAGAGGTTCTCTGCTTGGGGGCTTTTTCAGCACACGCTTTCAATTTGCAGCGGGTGGCTCACAAACAGCTGCATGCAATTACAGGGATTTACAGGATGCGGGCTTGAGAGAGACAAAATCTAAGGCTTGCAATGGTAGATACTAGTGAAATATGTAAGTGAGAAGTTTTTTCCCTAAAGAGGGGAAATTCCACCAGCCTTAAAAGGCAGGCATAATATTCAGTCCCCTTCAGTTTTAATTCCAGGTCTGTGCTGACATATGAATCAAATTGGTAATAGATATTTATAAAAAACTGGAGTCACTCTGATGTCATACTCTTTTGTCAGGAGATAGATGTAACTGCTAACTCCAGCAGCCTGTCCCAAGCAGGCATCCCAAATGAAGCAGTTCTGTAAAGCAAAGTGTGTAGAGCAAAGGGGAAACAAAACAGCCTGATATTGCTTCTGCCTTTTACTTCTGCTGCCTGGACATACATGAAGAAATAGCCAACTCTTCCATTTTCAACCTAAAAAAAAACATCTCCCAGACTTTCTGAGACTTAGTGTTGTCAAAAATTTTTCTGAGTGGGTCTGCTGCTCACCTGCACATCCCAAAATATACTGCAGGCTTCCCTCATGCTTGGGGAAATGGCTTTAAAATGGCAGGCTCAGGCAGTTCACAGTGAGAGCTCAGAGAGGTGCCAGTGTCACTGGGCACCCGTGGGCCCTGGCAGATCCTTGGGAGCATCAGGCTGCTCCCATAGCTCAGCTCTGTGTGCAGCACTGTTAACCCTGCTGCAGATCCTAGGGAGTTTCAGACACATGTAGCCTTACTAGACATGTGCTGATCCCTTCATGGACCCAAAACCATACCAAAGTGAGTCTCAGGGCACACACTGAAGCCCATTCAGATCAGTGGGGCACAGTTACAGAAAGCCTTTCACAGTAAAGTTTTTTGGAGCCATTTTTGCCCACAGGTGAACCCAGCAAGACTGAGCAGATGAAGCAGTAGCTTCCACTAATGCCCATGTGGGACTTGGAAATGTGTCATGGCAGTGCTAAAGTTTCCCAGTCCCACAGTGAGGCCAGAAGACTATCAGACCACACAAACTGGTGAAAAAAAAAGGTGGTAATGCTGAGTTTAGCAAGAAATGTTTTGGCCTTGGCAGTCTAACCCAGAAGCCAGACAAGGAACTTTTCTCTCTCCTTTCATACAATAACCAAATGGGTTAGTGTGTTCACCAAGTGAATTTGGCATCCACGATCCAGAGGGTTTTGTGCCCATCCCCACAAATGTGAGAGTGCATATCTGATGCAGAGGGTGGGCTCTGCTTCTGCTGAATGCAGCCACTGTGTGGAACAAGGCACAGGACCCCTTGGCTAGGGCTGCACACCACCTTTGTGAGGAGCCCAGGTGTCCTGCTGCTTTCTTAGAAGGCTGGCTCTGGGCTCTGACAGCTACAGTGTAGCAGTCATGGGTGTGTTATGGGTGCCACTCCTAAGAAAGAGTAGCAATATGCTTGTTAATACAACCCAGTGGTTTTGCCAAGCTTCATGGTAAATGTGAGAAGGGTTTAATAAATCTGATGACAAGGTGCACTTGATTATTTACGGCATAAAGGACAGGGTCAGACAAAACAGGCAGGGAGAGAGACTCTCCTGTTGAGTCATGAGGCTCAGAAAAGACCTCCTTTTGTGTTCTAAAGTGTTCTAAACTCCTTCTTAGAAGGGCGTTTATGTGTACCTAATTCCAAATTTAGACTTAGTACACAGTTTATATCTGAAGGATTATATGTGCAAAATCAATCTTTTGTGTCAGTTAGCTAAGATTTCAGAGTTTAGCATGCTATTATTCATTTACTGAGAATCTCTTGAGTCAAGGGATCTCACAACTCTGAGGAGTAACCTTGAGAGCTACTGCTCAAAGCAAAGGCCCTGGCAAATAGTCCACTGCTCTGCAGGAGAGATCAATGAGCCCTGGCTGTTCACTATTTATGAAGTAAGATAATTGACTTCTTGTCATATTTGCATACCTGCTACAGAATTTAATTTCTTCCAAACTTGGCCTGAGTTGGACCTTGACAAACAGTATGGTTGGGGGTGTGCAATGACTCATTTAAAACTGCAGCTCTACTCAGGATATCAAGAACTACAGCTCTACTCAGGATATAAAAGTGAAGTACAAGCCAGCTGAATCTTGCATTTCCTAAGACCTTTGCATCTACAGTTGTAAGCTCTCCATTTAAGGACTGCACTGTTCACTTTGGTGTAGCTGTAGACACAGGAGTATCTACCACAAGGTCTGAGTACCTTCTGGAAACTTAGCTTTCCTGACAGAAAGCAGTTTGGCATATGTGAAACTGAGGCACAGGCATATTAAATTTTCTTTTAGGTTTGCACAGGAAGTATTGATAAATCAGAAACCAGTTTTGTGCAGGTTGACATATCAGAAACAAATTTGTGATCTTATGTCTTCTAGTGTGTTGGCTGTGCAACTGATCATGAGTTTATCGTATTATTTATCTCAGGATTTTTATTTTATTTTGACTGCAAAAGTTACTCATCTCACCTTCTCCCAAGAAGCTGAAAATTGCTTTCCTTCCATATAGTATCACTGCAGGTATCAAGCAAAAGAGTGTCCAATCTTCATTTGCAGAGCCCAACAAAAAGAGGGTACCAGGGCTCTCATCCATCTGCAAAACCAAGCGGGAGCCCTACCTTGAGAATTCAGTGTGGAGCAACTCCTGGGTGATCAGTCATGACAAAACCAGCCTTGATCACTGCTTTTCCTCAAGGTGGAAAGCTCTGGGAAGGTGTAGATGCCACGTTCTTCCACTTTAAACCAAGGAGCTTGCAGGTGGAGAGCAGCAGAGCCCTGGATGCTGCGACCTGCAGTCCCAGGCAGTGTGTCTGCGCTAAGAGCAGGCAGCTGCGCTCTGCCCCAGCCCATGGAAATTAAGTGAAATCTTAGCTTAAAATGGCAATAATGTGGTTGTGATAGACAGAAAGCAGTCTCTAGAAACACAGCTGGCATGGGAACAGACTGCATATTGCTTTTTAATTTCTGGAAGGTACCAACGTAACAAATTCATGACAGCCACTCCCCTGTTCCCTAGCTCTGCTTGGAAATTTTTTGTAGGACATCATTTTGTTCTCTTCAGCAGGGATTTTATGCTTGGCATGGTGCACATAAACACTTCCTAGAAATGCTGCTTTTCAACAATTTTCATCTGAAAGTGGAGAAGTTAAAAATCTAGTTTACATAATTCAAATTTGGTGTTCTCAGGATTGTTTCAGGTGTAAAAATCCCCAATTTCTGAGCTTGCCATTGCTCCCTGGCATTCTGAATAGATTTTGTAATCAGTAAATATAGGAGTAACTGAGGATGCTAATCAATCACTCTGATATCTATAAGTAGTGAAATGTGAATAATTTGTGTTGCTGTTGAGACTATTACAGTTTGGTGTCTCTGTTTGCATTTATCAGAGGCTGTTGGATGTGAATCAGAGGCTAGTTATTACAAACCAGGACTAATAACTAAAAACCCTCCTCTCTTTTTGATGCAATTAAGTTCATTCTGGACCTCTCAGCCTTCTAGACCCATGCCATCGTAGTGAGGTGAGAACAGCTTGACATGAGCCTTCTGAAAATCATGCTGGAACTGCATGCCTCATCTCAACCTTGCTGTTCACAGGTGATGGTCCTGAGCAAGATGGTCCAGAGCACTGTGTCCTGGTGACTGTAAACCTGAGGTGAGTAACTGGCATGGTGTTGTAGGAGTCTTTGCTGTGAAACAGGATGTCTCTAATAATTTGCTCTGAGTTGCTTTTGAATGACAATGGAGTATTAGAATTTGAGGCTGAAGGGAAAGCTGGAATAACTCAGTCTAACTACAATTACCAAATAAAAAGAAAATATACATATGTATATATATATATATATATATATATATATATATATATAACTCAAGCTCTCTAAATTTTTTGTCTATCCCACACACTAATTCTAGTTTCAATCTCTGTTCAATCCCAAGTGAAGCTGAATTCATAGCTTGCTTTTAAAAACCTGATTGTGTCATTCATCCATGTGTTTTGGAAAGATGTGCCATATTCCTGAAGATTTGTAGGGTGTCATCCTTTCCAACCACATTATTAGTTCAGGATCTACAAGTTCCTGTGCATACTTACAGTGCCAAGGGGAAGTCAAATGTGAAAGAGAATGCAGAGCACCTTAAGACACATCTTTTATCTGCCTAAACCCATGTACTGGGGTTAGATTGGTAACCCTGTACCTTCAACCCCTTTAGGTTGTGTCATTCCAGTGGAGCTCAATAGAATTACTGTGGCCTAAAACTGATGGAATGATTAGTTGGCTGGAAATTAGAGTCAGAATTATTTATTTTTCTCATGTGCTATTTTACCTATTTAAAAATTTCTCTCCCTGTATCAAAATTTCTTAGTGGGAGGAAAAGTTATGAAGGATTTTGATTTGGAAGCATCCAAATATATTGCTTCAGTTTTGTTGTTCTAAATATGATATTTTAATATTGTTGTATTAATAATATTTTCTTATGAGCCAGCTAACCAGCTGTGATGCAAATTGTCTTATTCCCAGATTCTCCTGGGCAATTTATATACACCATGACAGCATACCCAGAGGCAGTTTCAAGTTGAACTGAGTTGAAATAATATATTCTTGTTCAGCTAAAAAATAAACTGAGATATTTGGTTTGGGTCAAACCCATGTATTGAAGAAAATACTTTGTTTTTTTGTTTTGGTTTTTTTTTTTTTTTTTTCCCAGAGGAACCCTGAATGCTTCAGGCAAAAGTGATTTGATTTTTCCTTGAATAAAAAGTTGATTTTGTGGAAACTCGATTTCCCAGCAGAGGCTGAACTGTTGGGGAATGTCCCTAAACTTTTGTGCTGAAGCAATGAAAGGCCTCTGATGCTTTAAGGAGGAACTCTGCCTTATTTGAAAATCTATGCTTTATTTTAGTGAAACCTGAAGGGAAAGGTTCTTCTCCATATCTTGCTCTCAGCTGTAAAAATTAACTATTTATATACCTGACAACAACCCTTCATACCACAAGAGGCATCTGCAGGCATTTGATTTACGAAAACTTGTTCGGCTTTGAATATTTTCATTTCAGTTCTGCTAGCTGATAGGTTGGCTTGCAATGAGACAATATTATGTTGTATTATGGTCAGCTGAGTTACAATTTGGCTGGTTTTTCTGTAGCTAAAATTTTACTGCATCCTGACACACATCACTGCAAAGTCCACTATATAAAGCTCCATATTCCATGCATTAATACCTGAACCTCTTCCACTATCTTTTTCCTCAGTTCAAACTTCCAAGCAGTAGTGAGCCTTTTCCACTTGATTTGCTTCTGCTTATTGCTTAAAGATGCACTTTCTGCCCACAATTAACACTAGTCATCATCCAAAGCCTGTCTCCTGCCAGCTGTTACCCAGTGAAATAGCAGCTTTTTAATGGGGTGACCAGAACCTATACACCATATTGCAAAGGTGGCTTTGTGGGAACTTTCTGCCACGACAGCATCATCTCTGGGGAACCTTACAGCTAAAAAGTATTTTATCAGGTGACAGACACTGCAGAAGAAGGTGGGGGCACTTCATCCTTTCTTTCTTTCCTTCACCTCTTCATGAAGCCTCCATCACTTTGATGATCAGTACAAAGGAAAGGGAAAAGAAAAGGAAGACAAAAACAATTTCTGTTTTTTGTGTGTGTTCCAGTCTGTGATTTGGCCATATTTCTCTCTCTGGGGTACTTTTTTACTCTGATTTCTTTAGTAGCCTGTAAACAGAAACGCAAGAGTAAAAGGAATCCATAACGACTTTCCTACATTTATGCTTGGACATTGATGGATGGAGAAGCGTTTAAGAGAAAAAGAATCAAATGTGAATCCAAAGATGTGGGTCATCTCTTCTGGATTTGCAGCACTGCCTGGCTGCAGGGCTTAATTCAAATATATTTGTACTTTCTAGAAGCTCATGGGTTCACCAGTGTATGACAGACAGAACCACAGAGCTGTGAAATAGGTGAGCACCACAACAGTGATGAGTAAAATATTTTTACTTTCCATATATTTGGTAGAATCAAACAGCTGCAGCCCTGAAGTTTTACATGTATAAAAATATATATACATAAATAAATGTAGCTGCTATATTACATCTGACAAGTGACTGCTGTTATGTTTTTCCTCTGTTATTCCTTGGATAGCACATTTTTCCAAGTTATTAAGTTACAGTGTGTAATTTGTAAACATCAAAATGGAAAACATTATGCGGTGCACGAATTAGCATGAATGTCTGTTATTGAATATGTGCTCTATTTCTAGAAATATGTAATTATTCCTCAATGGCAAACTTAAAATTTTAGCTATCAGGTTCTGCTTAGTTATATTTAACTGATTAGAAAAGCTTTGATGGATGGAAGCAAGAGTTCTGCAAAAGACATTCCCCAGAAGGTCTAATTTTGTGTGAAATAAGAAAAATTGTTTTCTTGATGCGTAATAGTCCAGCATAAAATCAAGGTTGTCTGGGCAATGTGGACTGGCAAGGAGGTGCAAAGAAGTAACACAGACACACTGGCTGCTGAAACCCTTAAATGTCAGTCATGATATTGTGACTTTGGCTTGCCAGGAGTATTGGTTGGCATTACCTGCTGGGATCCAGTTTACCTGTTCAAGGCAGATGTGCACCTTAATTGTAGGTGCATGGAGGAATAGATCTTTCCATGGAAAGGTGATTGATTGCTGCCTCTGATGCTGTGGCACTGAATTTAGGGCCAGTCTTTCAGCGAGCTGCTGAGCTGGATCCCACCCTCTACTCATTTCATGTAAGGTGGCAATTCACTTGTCCAGCTGTTGATTGTATCTTCCTAGGAGTGTCTGGTTCCTAAAACAGTGGAAATCATGACAGATCCACGAAATGCAGTACAAAAATTATGTTACCTCCAGATATGTGAATTGTCTTTTACTTCAAGACACTCTCTGAACTAGTTGACTCAAACAGCTGTGCTGATATTTTTCTGTCTTTCTCACAGAATTGTTTTGCTATAATTTAAAGTGTTATGGGGGAAATGCAGCGTCTTTTTCATTTAGTGATGGAGCTACTTCCCACCTTCTTTTTCAGATACAGCAAGTGAACAGGTACTCTCTTCAGAGCCTGCAGAATTCTGCTGTGAAGGTCCCAGAGAGAGCACAAAGCCCAACAGCTTGATTTGCAAAAGGAGCTGTAATTATTTATCTAGTTTAATAGACACTGCTTTATCTGTGTTCTAGTTCCTAAATATCACTGGAATCCAAATGTTTTTATTTAGCACAATTAAGGCAATCAAAAGTATTTATTTAAAGCACTTAATCACTTCAAGAAACAAGTGAAAGACTACTAAAATAGAGAATAATTTTCCAGTGAAGTTTGATATCTCTGTAAACATTTTAGATGTAATTTTCTTCTGACTCATTTTTGAGTCCTCTGAGGATCCAAATATCAAGTTTACTCTCAATTTCCACCTGGGAAGCAAGTACTGTGAATTGGGCTACAAGTGAAGAACTGATTGCTTTATGTAATTTAATTTATACCATTCTAACATATGTCAGAACACCACTGTATTGTGGAGTGCAATAAAAGGCTGACATGTCTTTTAAGAAAATCCACACTCACTGGGCTTCTCCAGATTTTACACATCCATATTGTGCAAACATGAGCTACATCTGAGTATTACAGACATGCAGGGCAGGCACAAGAATCCCTGAGGGCACCTCTGATCTGAATGTTAAATTAGCTTTATTGAAGTATGTCTTTTAAATGAACTGAGCCTGATGTCTTTCTTGTACTGGAATATGCCATCTTAATGATGCTTCCTTGAGAGCTGCTGATGAGAGAAAGGAATGAGGGAACAGTCATTACCATTAGAACAAGAAAGTGCTGAATGGTGAGTTATCCCCTCTCTTCCAACCACAAGTTTTTATAGAGTCTATTAATACCTTGTAGGGCACTGCAGCTTTCTGTGGTACATGCAGGGTCGCTGAGCTAATGCACACCCATAAATCCCAAATAGCTGCTGCTCTGCCCTGGTCATCTGTGAGAAAGTCCTAAGAGATGTGCTGGCACAACCCAGAGCAACCCAGAACATTAGTTCTACTCTGGGCACAGAGTAGAACTAATGTGGATCAGAATACTTTTACTTCCCAAAACATGCATATTCCTCATGAGGATGGCTGCTAGAACATTGTGTAGCCCTGGCAGCTACCCCTTGTGAGATACCACCAAGGAAAGACTTCATCAAGGTTGCCAGTTCCATGGGTGCAAGGGCAGGGAGGATGCAGGAGCACCCTTGGGCTGGCCACAGGAAGGGTGGGAGGCAGCCTGGAAAGTCCAGACAGCGATTCCTGGGACATGTGGGCAGTGACTAACTGTGACAGAGCTCTCACATGGTGAGAGAGTCATGGGCATTTCAAAAAAGGAAGGCATTTCAAAGTGCATGTATGAAAGTAGGTGTTCAGTCTGATAAGGTGAAGAGATACCAGGAGCAAGGACTGCTGCATAGTGGCAGGACCTGCAAAACAGAAAGTGAAGGGTGTATAGTAAGCTAGAGAAGCATTTGGTGTTTGAGGCGTGAAGGAAAGAAAGGAGAGAGGAGGAAGATGTGATCTGATGTGCAGGTTCATGAGTCAGGTATCAGGCATGCAGAGTCAGACGAGTCTTTGACAAAAACTCCCTTGTAAGCCCAGGAATGACCCTTTCCCACATCCATGGTTTGAAGTTTGTTACTTGAAGTGCAAAAATTTGCAAAAAACAAAATTCCAAAAGAATCTTCATGTTTCATGGTTTTCTTTAAAATTTTGGTGTGTTTTTGGCTTTCATACACTATCAAGTACTAATTTTAATGGCCATTTTTTCTTCAGTATTTCTTAGACTGTTTTGTTTCCATGTGTTTGTCAAGCATGCTGTAGAACAAAAACTGCTCCAAGTAACTTGGACCCATGTTTGTGCTAAGAGAAGGAGAGCTTGCCAAAGGACCATAGTGTCCTTTAAACCACTGGTCAATCAAGGTAGATGGAAAATCTCCTGTTTTCACTCTAACATGTTTCCAGGAGGAAAACAGCTTATCTTTGCCAGGTCCAGAATCTGGTCATTAGTGATCTTACTGCCATTTCCCAAGGCACTGTTCCAGTGTACTCTCCTGACTGAGACTGACTTTTAATACCTGGAACAATTGAAATCCCATAACAGTCTAAGCAACAACAGTGAAGAACCTGCTTTTATAAAGGAAGGCTTGGAGTGGACATGAGTGCACAGTAGAAACTGTGTGGGTAAGAAGTCATAACTAGTTGCACTGGTTATAATGAGGAGCAAATTGAGAACAGGGATTTGTGCTCTTTGAGTTGAAGAGGCTCCGGGTGCCAATGGAAGTCTCATCACGGACTGCTTGGCAGAGGTTGGAGCCTGTATGTTTATATGTGTCTGGTTTTATTTATAGGGAGTTTTGGGACTGCACAGTCCAAGGGAGAAAAGGCAGTGGGAAAAATGTATCTCCTTTCCTGGTTGCCTCATAGAGTTATTATGAACACAGCTCACTTCTTAGCAACATACTGTTTACTGAAGTCAGAAGTTGTGTGAAGGGCATTTGGGGAGTGAAAATGACCGAAGTGCCTAAAGCGTGTTGACTTTGAAGAGACACTTTCGCTGTAAGGAGAACGCTTCTGCCATTTGTGCCTTATAGCTTGTGCCCAAGAAGCCCACCATGAGGGGAACAGAAATGAAAATGTTTTGTGGTGTTGGAAAATTTCAAGGCAATGAGACATACCTGGCACTTAGTCGATAGAATCAGTACATCACAAGACAGCTGAATTGCTTCCTTGATGTTCTTTGTGTAGTGTTTAATTTAATGCATGGCATTAAAATGCAAGATTCAAGCCAAAAATTTGTCTCTGAAAATAAATCGGGCATCCACCCAAATGCTTGACCAGGAGACAAACCTGGCATTGTGGCCCTGTCTAATGGCTGAAACCCCTGGGCCCTGCCAGCCTGGCTAGTGTGAATCCTGAGTCAAGAGCTGCTCAGGGAATACCTTTTTCCTGTAAATATGTGTTTAAATATCAGGCTGCTGAAATGGTGCATCCGGCTTGAGTTATCCTGTGCTAGTGATACGTGAGCAAAGAAAATGGCAGGATCCAAGATAAATAAAGGAAGACTTTGTAACAGCAAGAACTTCTTTTCCCTCACAGTGAATTCACTGATCATTCATTAATGTTCCCACTAATGTGAAGAACTGAGCTTCCACAAAAAGTAATGGAGAACTGAGCTCTCACGAAATGTAATCTGGAAAACGTGGGGCAGATGTTCTTGTGCCAAAAATGCATTAACTATCTCAGTGAATCTGAAAAGACGTGATCCAGATCCTATTTTATGGGCTGCACTCTTCAAAGTGCTTCCTGGCATGGGGTTAACCTTACTTACTGGGACCACTAGTAGGTGGTTCTCCAAAATAAGTAAGTCAGTGCTACCGACCTCACTGCCCAGACTGGAAATTTTCAGAGCTCCAGAAAAACACAAACATGAAGGTGAAGAATGGTGAACCTCCTGCCTGCAACTGTCTAGGACAGGAGTCCTAATTTTCCCATCCTCCTGCTGCTCTTTAGATGTTTAGATATGTTGTTCCAAGTTCCCATAACATCCGTGTGTGCTGGCAAGGGAGATCTGTGAGCTCTGTGCTGTCCAAACTAAATACCAAATTAGCATCTGAAGTCTGCTTTCTGAATGTCCCCCCACCCAGTTTCTGGGGTGAGCTATTGATCTGGGTTCACAAATGCTGTGTAGCTCCTGACTTTTACAAAACAAGCACTCAGTGCTTGCACACTGTGTCTCTGTCTCACACATGCGCCCTGCTAAAGAACAGGAATGAACCATTAGAGTCACAATCTGAAAATTGGAAACATGCCGGTGTGTGTCATCAGCTGGAGAAAAATCCCATCATTACACTGCTACTGCAGTGTCCTCTTTATTTGTGCCTCCAACTCAAATGCATTAAATTTAATTACACAGTACTACAACTCCAAGACAGACTTAATATATTTGGATAAGAAAACTTCAAAAAAACCCACTCCTTCATTAATAATTAAAGTGGCATTTGTGCTGGCAACAGAGGAAAGTGAAGTGATTCCAGGCTGTGGGACATGGAGCAGAGGGGCAGCAACAGAACCGTAGAATGGTTTATGTTGGAAGGGGCTTTAAAGATTGTCCGCTGACAACCATGGGCAGGTGCATCTTCCACTAAACCAGGTTGCTCATAGCCTCATCCATCCTGACCTTGAACACCACCTGGGATGGGTCATCCACAATTTCCCTGGGCAACCTCTTCCAGTGCCACATCACACTCACAGGAAAGAATTTCTTTCTAATATCTAATCTAAAGCCAGTCTCCTTCAGTTTCAAGCCTTTTCCTTTTGTCCTATTGCTACATATCCTTGTAAAATGTCTTCCTGTAGCCCCCTTTAGGTGTTGGAAGGTGCTATAAGGTCTCCTCTCCAGGCTGAATAACCCCAACTCTGTCTTGGGAGTACAATGGGAAGCAGTTTTAGTAAATACATACAAATAGTGAATTTGTAATAATTTAATCCAGAACATGGAGTGAACAGATGCAAAAACCCCATTAGGTCAGCTACTGTGTGCCCCTGGCTGTATAGAACTGAGACAAGAAATGTGCTTCTGTTGGATTAGTTCTCCACACTCCAAGCAATGGGATGCCTGCTTCTAAAAATATCTTCCTTTGTAAAGAGGTTTTGTTTTTTCCCCTTGACAGTGGGCAGTTTAAATTCACCTTGTGATTTCATCCACTGTTACTAATTACATCCTTTCTCCTGGAGGAGGTAACTCCCCTTGGTTTGCAGACCCTTCAAATATTGATAGGAAAATAGTTGTCCCTTTTCTTTTGCAGATGTGTTTAAGCCCAGTTGTATTCATAGTTAGCCTTTCCAATCTTCCCTCCTGCAGCCTCCGCATCCTTCTCGTTGCTCTGCTTTTACAGTTTCTCACTGGGCATACGTCTTAGCATTTCAGCTTTGGTGGTAATACAGCAGCCAGGACAGGTTTGCCAAACCCTTGCATATGGAATGGAAGACAATTAATACTATTGTTCTTCCATTTTACAGTAGGAGCTAGACAATTTGCTTTTGCTTGGGCTCTTTTCCCACCACCTTCTGAGCTGGAACAGATTGTCCCCTCCAGTGTAATTTCAGCCATATTCAGTCTTTAAATTGTGTTTGGATTTTTTCCATTAAAAACAGGGGAGGAAAAAAAAAGAGGAAGTAAATGAGAAGCTTTTGCCCTTCCCTTTTATGAGCTATTTCATTTCATCATTAATTCTATCTGTGTTAAAAAGACTTGGGAAAAATAAAGCATGAGAGGAGGTTGTAAATGTGAAGGGGATAAAGCAAGAGAAATGCAGTGGAGGACAGGGGATCAGTGGGAAATAGGTACTTTTGAGGGTGGTGAAGAAGGTGTAGGAACGATCGCATGGGAAGGCTGAACTGGGGAGGCCAAGTAGGCAGTCAGTAGCAGGAAGTGGCATCTAAGGGACAGTAGCACATCAGTGACAGCTAAGGGCCAGTGGGGGGAAAACGTGCATCTGTACCACTGTCAACTGACTTGATCACCTGCTGGGTGTGAAGGGTGAGAAAAGCAATCCTTGTGGTACAGCAGAGAACATGAAAAGCTGGATTTGTAACTTGAAAGACAGTTAATGATGTGGAAAATCCTTCTGTACTGAGAGGATGGCTTGATATGGGAAGATGTGGCATGGTAAGATGGA